AGCATACTAATTCTATTAGGTTTGTAACATGTCTGCTCCATCAGACATGCAGCATACTAATTATATCAGGCTTGTAACAGATCTGCTCCATCAGACATGCAGCATACTAATTCTATCAGGCCTGTAACAGATCTGCTCCACCAGACATGAGCATACTAATTCTATTAGGTTTGTAACATGTCTGCTCCATCGGACATGCAGCATACTAATTTTATCAGGCCTGTAACAGGTCTGCTCCATCAGACCTGCAGCATGCCAATTCTATCAGGCCTGTAACAGGTATGCTCCATCAGACATGCAGCATACTAATTCTATCAGGCCTGTAACAGGTCTGCTCCATCAGACATGCAGCATACTAATTCTATCAGGCCTGTAACAGGTCTGCTCCATCAGACATGCAGCATACTAATTCTATCAGGCCTGTAACAGGTCTGCTCCATCAGACATGAGCATACTAATTCTATTAGGTTTGTAACATGTCTGCTCCATCAGACATGCAGCATACTAATTCTATCAGGCCTGTAACAGATCTGCTCCATCAGATCTGCAGCATACTAATTCTATCAGGCCTGTAACAGGTCTGCTCCATCAGACATGCAGCAAGCCAATTATGTCTGTAACAGATCTGCTCCATCAGACATGCAGCATACTATTTCTATCAGGCCTGTAACATGTCTGCTCCATCAGACATGCAGCATACTAATTCTATCAGGCCTGTAACATGTCTGCTCCATCAGACTTATCAATTCAGTAAGACCTTCAGCTTATCATTTCTCTCAGAAATACATTAATACATTGCCTGCTGAAACCTCCCCAAAATCTATAGGAAAAAATATCAACAGGCAATGAGATAATCATTATACTCAACATTTCTCGCTAAACTGAAATAACATAATAAAATGCAATCATTTTTTGGTGGGAAGACACCAATTATTTCAGAACCTTTAATACCTTTGATACAAAACCTGTAGGACTGTAGTGCCAAATCCCAACACATCACCCGTGAATTAACTATTTTGGCTCTCTGCATGTATTTAAAAGATTGGTGGTCTGTCTGTAGAGTAAATTTACGGCCATACACATATGCATCGACCTTGTACACTTCCCTAGTCATTGCTAAGCATTCTTTTTCAACAGTAGCATACTTGGTTTCTCTTGGCAACTGCTTTTGGCTAGGCTACTGAGAAAACGTCTTGGTCATGTTCCTAGAGAAGAGCTACACCTAAGCCGAGATTTGATGCATCTGTGCGTAGCATAAGTGGCTTTGTGCAGTATGGTAGATGTAGGATAATTGAGGAGGTTAACTGGTTAATTTTAGTTCATCTTCCTGACTCTCGCCCTAACTAACCCCCTTTCTTTGTCAGACCTGTTAAAGGCACTGCAATCGCCGCAAAGTTGGGAATGAACTTCTGATAGTAATATGCTAGCCCAAGAAAGGAACGCAGATGCTTTTTGGTTGATGGCCTCTTAGCTTCTCTAATGTTCAATAGTTTGTCATGTTGTGGCTTGAGCTGACCTTCACCAACTATGTGATCCAAGAAGATTCACTTCTTTAAGTCGTGCCATGGCCCAAGTTGCTGTGCGGACCAATATATCGTCAACAAAGCTATCAACGTTCTTTATTCCATCTAGTTCCAACCTTATAACACTGCTAAACGATGTCTGTGCATTTACCAAGCCAAAGGCCATCATGCAGAAGTAAAACAAAGCATTTGGAGCTTCAAATGCAGTTACTGGATGTGACTCCTTTTTCAAGAGAATTTACCAATACCCGCTAGTGAGGTCTACCTTGCTGAAATAATTATCATGTAAAAGCGAAGCAAAAATTTCATCTGAATCATTCAATTGAGCAGCGTCAAAAACTGTGATGCCATTTAATGACAGAAAATCAATGCAGAACATGATGTTGTAATCTTTTTTCTTCACAATGACTATTGGAAGAAGAGTTGGGGGATTTCGACCAAGGGTTTTATTATTCTCAGACGCAACATGGATGATATCTCCTGTCTCACTGTATCTTTTAAGGTATGTGCTATGGGGTAAGGTCGTTGTCTGATTGGGTTGTATGTAGTCAACTTTATCTCATGCTCCCATAGTGATGTTCTTTTAGGCAAATCCTTGAGTACTTCACTATTACTGGGAAAGTAGCTGTCTCAGTGCGTCATCCTGCTCCAAAGTAAGGCTGTCACTCACCTTAACATCATTGGCGTTCTGAGTTTGCTGTAAAAACCGACACCATCAGCAAGTCACCATGTGGTTGTACAGTCTCGTGCCCGTGCTCCAGTTCTGGCTCTGCTTCAAGTAGCACTGACGCCCGAGTCATCTCATTGGCGGCCGCTGGGCCAACTACATCCTCTGCTTTCCTGCAAACATACAACTTTAGTAAATTGGAATGGAATGTTTTTACTTTACCGCCTATGTCAATCTGATAATCTACATTACCGATTTTTGCCTTCACTGAAAATGGGCCCTTCCACTGCAGCAACAGCATTTTACTTTCTGTTGAAAGGAGTAGCAAAACATAATCACGAACCTTAAACTGATGTGGTTCACTCGTTCTATTTTAAAATAAATTTCTCTTGTCTCATCAGTGCCTTCTTTAGGTTCTCATGTGCGAGCCCACATGTCTTTTCCAATCTTTCCTGCAGATCGATAACATACTTGTAGGTGGTCCTTACCTCAGTCTCCTCTACCTCACCAGTCCACTGGTCTTTGAGTATAGATATCCGACATCTCACACTCCTCCAATATATCAAATCAAATGGCTTGTGGTACCTCACGGTATGCAAATAAAAGTGATGCCAGCTAGCGGTCCCAGTCTTTGGGTCTCTCAGAACTCAGTCTCTTCAACATTTGCTTCAATGTGCCATTGAAACACAGTCCATTACAGACAGGTTGGTGGGGTGTTGTAGTCAACTGTTTTATTGAAAGTAACTGAGTCGCCTCTTGCATGACACCTGATGTAAATTGAGAGCCTTGGTCACTCAAGATCTTCTGCGTTACACCAACCCTACAAAACGCATCCACTAATGCCTCTGCTACTTTAGTAGTCTCAATATTCTTCATTGCCACTGCCTCTGGGTGTCTTGTAGCATAATCTAGTTCAGTTATCGGGAAGATGGGTCCCACAATATCTAGATAGATATAATAGTGTCCATTCACAACCACCTGTGTCCATTCACATCCAGACAACCACGATACACCAGCTGTCGATATAATTACCAAGCCAATGCTGATATGCCGTTACTCTTTTTTATTCCATTCAGCAAAGGACATGACCATCTAAACCAACAAACCTGTCCTGTCTTTACACAGGTATATACGTAAAGCTGGTTATACTATTAGTCTGGTTCTGCAGCATAAACTAGGCGACGAAGAGCCTAACATGCCCTAACAAGAAGTTAATTAGATCAAAACAAAAAGAAGAACAAAACAAAATTGTTAAATTAACTGACATAAAAAAAATAATTCCCATCAATTTTGGAAAATAATCAATGAACTAAAAGGTTCAAGAAATGATCAATCTAATCCAATTTCTCCCAAGAAAATGGACAGAATTATATGAACAATTACATAATGATTGTCCTGATAATAATAATACTGTTTTTCAAAAACAGATAATCTCCAACATCTATGGAAGTAAAGGACATTTTAACAACTATAATGTAAATAATGAGATATCTGAAAAAGAATCTAGGCAAGCCATCTAAACCTGGCGATTTTCCAGTTGGAAAAGATCTGTATTGTAATTTGTATATATCAATTCGTATATACCCCGATTGAAGGTCATGTATTTTGTGACGTTGCCAATATCTCCGTGTATTGTCGAAATATGTTTTATGCAGTGATAAATTTATATCAATTTATATGGTCGACATTTTTTTTGCTAACAGCGCCATCTTGCATACTCGTTCGTTTTTATGGTGGCAAATTATTAGGTCAGTTGATGATGCTCTCATCTGAAATACAATACAAAATTAAATTAAATTGAGCATTATATTATTCCCAATAAATAAACCTTATTTTAGTGATTGAGCATTATGTATGAATGCATCACATACCACATGTTGTAGGGTTTATAATTTATATTATTTCTATATTAATTTGTATGTATCACTGTGAATTATAAAATAAAAGATATCTGCCTGAAGTGTTTTTGGCTTTCATATTTGTATACACTATATATACAATATATACACTATATAATACTTTTGTGTATCTTTTTTTTACAACA